CATTGAGGTCTTTCGGAATATGCAGATTCCTTCAAGTAAATTAGCCCCTGCCTCCCCCCCGCAACAACTGTCTGCGTTTATTCTCCTCTTCTTTGCATCTGGCAAGGCGCACTAGACGCATGGCTTCTCCTGAGCAACTAAGCAGAGGCAGCTTCCAGCGCGAGGACTTTGAGGGACCTCCAGGCGTCATCCTCGCAGTTTTCTCAAACAGCCTGACGGAGGTGGTTTTGCCAGCTTTTATGCCTTTTAATAACATTTGTTAGCTGGAAAGGGTGCTACCAGACTCCTCCTGATTGCTTAGCATCCAAGTACTAAGTCCTGCTGTACAAAGAGATCAGCCAGGATCAGCCAGGAGTTGCCACCTATAATAAACGTTTCAGACTGTTAGATGCCTCAAGACTCACGGAGCGGCTTCCACTCTAGAAATTAAACCTGACCAGCATGAGTGCCTCTTTAAATATAAATTGCCTCGTTCTCTCATTCAGGGTGTGCACGCGCGCCACAATAAACATCCAACCCAATCCAGCTGAGTTACGGAGGCAACAGAGTGCAGTTGGAGCGCCATTTCATAGCACCATAGACTGGCAGAGTTGGAAGAGGCCCCAGTTTCTGTGGGAGTGGAAAACAGCTGCTGGCCGCCTTATCCCTGGCGCCCTGAACCCTGACATCACGCCCAAACCTCCCAGGTTCTTTTGATCTGACCTCCTGGGGCAGGTCCATCTTCGCTGTCCTCCCCTGAACCAATCCAGGTCAAAGGAGGTTATGCTAAACAGCTGTTTTGGAGCCCTACTGGGCAATTACTGGGCTTATTATACTGTATTTTGCCTTCCATGCAGGGTTTACTGTGCCCCCCCCAAACATCACACCCCTTCCTAGCTCCTAGCTCGACTTGAAGGAGACAGCCCTTTGTTTCCAAACTTCTGGATCAAGCACGTCCCCGTTGGTGGCTGGCCTCCCCCCCACCCCCAGTCCTGAGAAGGCCAGCAAGAGGGGCGAACACAAGCCCTGGTTCAGTAGGGGGGGGGAGCCTTTGGAGGATATTGCAGAAGGCTGCGCTGCGATCCTGCTGGGCAGACAAGTACTCCGGATGGAGGGAGGGTATCTGGGGCTTGCTTCAGAAGATAAGAAACGCTGCAGGCGAGGCTGATGCTAGGGGGCCCAGCAGGGTCTCTGCCCCCAAGCCAACCCTTGCAACACCAACTCTTGGAACAGAGTTGCCCAGCAGGCCAAGAAGCCCCCTTGGCTTTTGAGGTCTTCCAGCTCAGAAGAGGAGGGGCTGGTGGTGGGGTGGGTGGCAGACAAATACTCTGCTGGTGATGGAAGTTCAGATAATTTCCCACCCATACAAAGAAGGAGGGGTCTCCTCCCCCTGAATCCTGATCTGGGTTGTGGGGGGGGCAGGCATGTTATCCCCCACTCCCTGCAGAAGCTGCAGAGCGTGGTGTGCCCAGCTAATGGCAACCCCTCCATGAAGCTATCCAGTGAGGGAGATCTCCTGCGCGCCAGAAGGGATGGCATTGCCCACTGCTCCTTCCTGAGGAGGCTCAACAGCTGCCTCCCGTCCTGGGCCTGCCTTGAAATGTGCACAGAGCTTCCCTGTTCCGCTCCAGCCTCTCCCACCTTCACAATGCAGCATCCAGAACCTCACGAGCTAGAGTAAGTGGGCTTCCCGGGCCTTGCGCTCTGGTGGCTGAGTCCACCCAAGTCCCCCTGAAGG